GGCTTCCCAAAACGTGTGACCTAGCCATTGATATCTTCTTGTCTTGGTCTCAAGGTTAACTGGTTGTTCTTTTGTTCCAATCCATAATACTTTTGTGCATTTTGATGGTGTACCACTCATGGATTGTCCTGATCTTGTCCAGGCAACCATTGATGAAGGACTACTTTTTTATACAAAAGTCTTCCAAGATGGAAAAATGAAAAGGTGTGTTTGTTCGTGCTTCATTAGCTTTCCGTTTTTACAGGGTCGGGTAGTTGGCCCTCCGCAAACTGGCACTTTTCGGGCGACCAGACCTATGCACCTTAAGGCGAGAAGTGGGGGGGGGGGGGCTACACCCACAAAGTCAAAATTCGGCTCAAAACTATGGAATTTGAGCTGTAGGCATTTTTAGCTTCCTCAGCCTCTCCTACAACTATTTCATCTAAAAAATAACACCAAAAGCCGTATTTTTTCCAATACCCAACATGTCTGTCACCGCCATTTCCTCATAAAGTCAGTATTTTATTTTTCTTTATCGACCGTTTTCTCAAAACGCGACCTTTCTCTATACTTTTTTGAATAACTCCACCATTTTTCATCCAATCTCCATGAAATGTTCACGGAATGAAGACTAGATGTAATACTAAAGACATATTTGTTGAATTTTTTATATTTGGAATAGATTTTTGGTGGTGGTGTCTGGAGTGTGGATTTTCACGGATTTTTTGCAAACTTGAATGCTACCTCCGGAAAAAATTCATTAAAACTTTTGTAATTCGTTTAGTAAAAAAACAACAGACCAATTTTTAGATCTAATGTTTTTGTTTGTTTGTTTTTTTAGTATAGGGTTTTACGGCGCTCGCAACTGCATAAGGTCATATGAGCGCGCTGGACACACCTAATACTTTTTCGTTGGTAGGAAATTTTGAATTTTGCCCGGGTGGCGGCCGAAGCTTACTCTTATCGATTTTAGACCACCAAGGGATCTTTAACGTGCGCAACTTGCACACGGGCCCTCCGAGACTTTTCGCCCTTGTCCGAGAAGGCTAGGTGTAGATCTTTCCTACCAGAAGGTCAGGGGTGTGGCAGAAAGACAGCAGTTAGGAGGAGCCAAGGAGTAGCAGTAGAAAGGCTGCAGAAAGAGTCAGGAGCCCAGAGGAGGGGACAAAGGAGGTGAGGGGGTGGGGGCATAAAGTGGAAATGAAAGCAGACAACAGAATACTGTTAGAGATCAGGAAAGGGTGTGAAAGGAGACACTTTTAGAGAAGAAAATATTTTGGTCGCTACCCGGAATCGAAACCGGGACCTTTGAATGAGAGGCCAACACCTTAACCTCTAGGCCACGAGAGCCCCCTTAGATCTAAAGTTTGTAATGTAAGCACGCATGCAAAAAAACAATCAATTTCCATGAGCAATAAGTGCGGTATTCATTATGTAAGACATGTCAACAAAATCCAATATGGCCGCCGTATCCATGGAAACAAAACTTTTTCTCAAATTTGATTACCAATTTTAAGACTCCTTACTATGCTTGCTATATGTGTGAAAGTTGGTAAAATTCAGTCCAGTAATAAGCGATATAGCCTTCAGGTGTAGCCCCCCCCCTCCCCCCCCTTAAGTTGCCTCTTTCGACACGCAGTTTAACGGCAGGTGTATTCTTTGCTCCGTCATAGTAAAACTGTGCAGAGTTATGTATTATGATGGCCAGCTCACTGACAGCTTTGACATCAAGACCGGTGTGAGACAGGTATGTTTACTATCACCTTTCCTTTTATTCTAGGCAATAGACTGGCGGATAAAGGAAACCACCATATGATACAGAAACGGCCTACAGTAGACTCCATAGATACAGTTGGACGATCTGGACTTTGCTGATGACTTGGTGCTTCTGTCACACACTCAGGTACAGATGCAAGCAAAGACCACAATTTTAAACAGTATATCAGAGTCTGTTGAATTGAGGATCCATCCCGGAAAGTGAAGAGTCCTAAGGATAGATGTACAACGAAAGGAGCAGGTCACAATAGAGGGGAATGCACTAGAAGACGTTGGATCCTTCTGCTAGCTTGGGAGTATAATTGACAGAGAGGGAGAAACAGGCGCTGAAATAAGGCCCCGCACTGGAAAGGCACAGACTGCATTTATTTCTTTGAACAGGAGTTTGAGGACCAGGGATATCTCACCACTATGAACGAAGCTTAGGATTTTAAAATCAATAAATGTGAAGACAGTCTTGCTGGAATGATGTGAGACACGGAACGCATCTCAGGCGTGCATAAAGAGGATCCAGGTTTTCTTGAAGAAGTGTCTGAGGATCCGATGGACTGATAGGATCACGAACGAAAATATATTAAGAAGAACGAGACAGAGTCCAGTCAGAAAAAAAGTGAGAAAAGGGCGCTGGTGAAGGATTGGACACACTTTTTGGAAGCCAAGCAGCTGCATAACAAGGAAAGTGTTCGATTGGAACACACAGGGTAAAATATCAACGGGAAGACCCCTGGAAACCTGCAGAAGAGTC